AAGTCCTTCTATAGCAAAGGGGTTGATACTAAAGTTATATTTAAACAATATAGATCTCGCCATATAAGGAATTTCATTGGAATTAAGATTTTGCCTGGCAAGGACGTATAATTTTTGATATTTTATGATGAAGATATGTAAAGAATTATATTAGGCGAGCCAGTGCAGGATGGTGGGTAATGGTGAGCTTTTCTAAGCAATAAAGTTTTTACTTGCTAAAATCAATATTTCGTTTCCTTGTTTTTACATTTAATACAATTAAGTTTGATCGAAAGCATAGGAATGTGGATGTTGAGTCAATTCGACTTGAATACCAAAACTGAAAAATTTCATTTTATTTTAAACAAACTTTTTTCAAAACAATTTTTTCATGCGCATTCCGTTTTTAAAATAATGTTATGAAATTCCGCTTTTCTAAGCTAGGTCTAGTACCACTGGGTCGCAGATATTGTTTTGAAATTCTTTTATTTGCAATTATTTTCCTTAACAGTAGGATTACTCACAATATATTTTGGCAGTACTCTCAGCTCAAATGTTCTTGTCCGACTCACTCTGCCTTCCGCAAACGGTCTATTTATATTCTTACAAACATATTCATAGCTTCATTTTTAATCCGTTAACCTGTCTTGTCTGTAATCATTTTCCTCGGCTGGCAGCTGCATGACGCGCCCGCGAATGTGCACTTGGCTTTTTACCTCTCTGGGGAATTTATGATTTGGGAAAATTTAATTACACGGAATAAGCTCGATTTAGGATTTCCGTAAAAATACAATTTCCGTAGATTTTTTTACTGCACTTAGCACAACTGTCTTACTTCTATTTCCCTTCCATAATACTTGAACTTGGCAATTGAACCGTTTTCAATGTTCCGTATGTTAGATACAGGCGCTAAGGCATTTAGGGCTTAATGATAACAATCGCCTAGTTCGGGGCCAATTGTAAAATAAATTCTTTTCTTTGGATTTTTGCTTGAAAGAAACAAAACGCAAGCAGTGATTGCTGCTAATTCTAAGATTTTGTAGAATATATGAAAAGGCCATCTGCAGAATCCTACTTTGGTACTATATTTTCGCATCATTTGATCATCGTACTTAGTATTATCAAAAAAATTTATAGGTTCCTGGAGATATTTCGTATTTATTTCAATTTTACACTTAGATGCTTTGAGCTCAATAACAGAACTTTTCGTTGGCCTTAGCTTTATAAACTTCTTTTCTATTTGGCTGCAGCAATATTTCGTACACAACCTGAAATACTTGCTTGTAACATGCGCGTTAGCCATAATTTGACAGCAAGTTTATCTGAGAACAATTGCTCCTTGACTGTTGAGCCTGCGCTATGTTTATAACAAGTCTGGCTGTTCTCAATAAATTTTTCCCACAGTTTTGGAATCAAGGCATACTTGTCTATTTTCAATCATTCACTCCCTTCACGTTTCTGATCGAAGCATATAAATTAAGGTATTACTCTGAACTTACCTCTGCATATTGTTTGGGAGAGAAGGGAGAGAAATCTGTCAATACGCTGTCTTTCTATGCTTCCCACAATGTAGAAATTTCTTCACTATTAGATCAATCTGTAGCGTCTAAATCACATTCGGTTTCAAAACTAACAAGTTTGTGGGCAAGTGTTTAATAAAAATTCCTATGCACACGAATTAGATGATATCTATTTTGATCAACGACGTCTATTGGCGAAAATGATAGAATAATGTGGCATATCAAGATACATGAAGATTAAATTCAATAATTTTGCCCTTTCTCTATATATTATTATTATTATTATAATTTTAGACTAATGAAATAAATTCTTAACCTAAAAAAAAGACATTGAGCACTAGCAGCACAGGCTATCGGCTCTAATCTTCTCTATATATAATAACAATTTTCCATATAGTATTATTGAGTTATATAGAGTACACAGACACTAATCACGGAACGCTTAAAACTGCATTTTTGAGATTCACTGCATCTGTTGTTTGATTTAAAGTAATCTGCTGCCGAAGCCCATCAAACATTTTTAGAAGCTTATGGTGATGTTGCTCCATCATATCCCGATTGTCAATTTTGGTTTCACTGGTTCAAAAGGGGTGGTTTTGACGTTAATGGCAAAGAATGGCCTGCAGGAGTAAAAAAATTTGAAGACATGTAAGAGTAAGAGGGCTTTAAAGTCTCAAAAAGCTTTCAAACAGCTTAGCAGTTGATGAATCAATTGTTTCTTGACGTTTGCGTACAAATGCCTTTTCGAACAATTTCAACATTGCGGTTTCGTTACTTGCCAGGCATAAAAGAAGAGTTTTCTGTGGCGTGTTGTAACTTATGATGAAAATTGGGTCTACTACAACATCCAAACGCTACGACAAGCGCAAAAAGCCATGGATTAGTCCAGAAGAGCCATCTACATCGGCACCAAAGCGAAATATGGCCATACACTTCTGCTGTGCATATGGTAGGATCAGCAAGGAGTAGTGTATTAAGGCCTGCTAAACCGATTGAAACTGTTGTTGAAGGTTTCCACCGACGGCAACTGACCAAATTGGGTGGTGTCTTGTTGCAAAAAAGACTAGCAAAAGGGGCTAACAGACGCAAAGTCATCCTCTTGCATAACACCGCTTAGCCACATTTTACAAGAATTGCCAAAGATACACGGATGTATTCAAAGAATCATCGAAGCTTGTCAGACTCAATGATCTAGCAACACGAATAGTAGACGATCTTTCGATTGATGAATGAGACAAACGTGTCTATTCGATCGAGAGACCTGCAGTCATTCAATTAAAGGCTGTGAAGGCCGTTTTATACGATTTTGTAGAGGTAGATGGTAATCAACCTAAATTTTAGATAATTGGGAAATGAGAATTTTAAAAAAGCATCAATGACGGAGTGGGTACGGGCTCTACGTTTAGCGCTATAAATAAAACATACTTTGCATCATATTTAAATAATACCTTGGGCACCCAAAAAAGACTTCAATACAATAGTTAACATGCGTCATTAGGAGGGAATGCACAACGGTCTGTTTAACTTTTAGAGGCAGATGTAATTTAGATTGCACTATTTTCGGAAAGTAAAATAACCTTAGGAGGAACATTGTCAATGTGAGAGCCAAAGTTGAGTTTGCGATCCAGGGTTACCCCGAGACATTGCATCGAATCTACAAGATCAATTTAATACCCGGTATCCATAACGGACTGCGTGGTGGAGATAAGATGTCTTGAGATGCAGCCAGGCCGAAAGCCGAACCGAACATCATGCATTGCATTACTGTTATTCAAAAATGAATCAAGTTATTCCTTCATAATTAAGCTCCGTAACCTTGGGGACATATGAACTTCAGGTGAAGGCGTCAGCAGACAAATTTTACTACTAGCAAGAAGAAGGTGAAGAAGAGTAATATGTCTATTCTAGATTAAATTTTGGAGTAATATTCGCATTGTTCAGATACTTAATATCATAAGAAAACATTTTGAAAAGGCTTTATACTATAATATTCTTACGAGAATTGCATATGTGCTGATTTAAGTTTTCATAAAAACTGGTCAATTTTTGAAGAAATAAAATTAAAAAGGAAGGAAAAACCAAAGATACAGTCACGACGCTTTACTTGTCTCATGCAGATGACGACTAGCGAAAAGATTAACAACAATTACCAGAAATTTAGCTAAAGAAGAGCTTAACACAAATAGGGTCACTAATTTATAAAACAAGACAGTTATGGGGAGTAAAACGTTGCAAATATAAGTTCCTGTAAATAATTTGTAAATAGATCTCCCAAGAGTAGTATATAAATTCAATACTATTCTAAAAACCGCAATTCGGCGGTACGAACTCAATTTCGAAAGGAGCTGAATAAATAACCTAAAATCACGAAAGACATTTTATGTTGCAATATAATACACGGAATGTTCGCCGCAAACTAATATTGACGTTTACATTTTAAATGACTTTGGTTAACAAACGATGTTTTCAATTTTAAGATCGCTGATTATATATCGGCCGCCAAATAACGAGCCGATGGCTATACAATGTTAGTGCACTTGTTAAAAAGCGCGGTGTACGTAGGCGTATTCAGTTTCTGATATTATTACCATCAAAATTTCCAGTCCACGATCTTTGTAAATACCATCAGAAATAGAGCTTTAAAGCTCTAACAAATGCAAAGTCTATTTTTTACTACAATTGAAATGATCGTACTGCGAGTAGTGTCCTAAATCTAGCTTTCATCAATACAATTATTGTGTTCCTTAACTAGAAGGGTTTCGATCGGTAAAAGTCAACAGTCTCCCATTTTATTTCTAAGTTGCAACAATTCTGTGTAAAAAATAGAAAATTTCATTTCCCGCAAATTCTTAATCGACGGCCTACATGACGTGACGTGAGTGTACCATCCGACTTGTCATCAATTCGAAGGACTTTGCAATCTGAGACCAAATCTTTTAGAATCAGCTTTACCAGGCTTTCTCACCAAATCCATGGTGGAACCCATCCCTGTCAATGCTCTTTCGCAAATATCGAAACGTAAAGAAAAAAATTGGTAAATATGCAAATACCACCAACTGCTTTGAGTGTATGAAAACAGATTGAATTATTTTCAATTCCTCTTATTAATTTTAATAACACGCCCTCTAGCTTATACGAATTGGCATATCTTGTATACAACTCGGTAAGAGAATGCTGCTGCCCGTTGCGACGGAATCAAGTACGACATGGTTAGAGCACTTTCTGCGGGAAGCTTGGCCGTCTTAGTCTATGCAATTAACCATTTGTTCTTATTCCTAAAGCGAATAAAGCCTTAAATGTTTTAAACAAGTTTAGGACGCAACCAAATGGTTGTTTATAAATTGATAAAAACCGGAGCGCAACGAAATCAGTGCAAAAATGTGTGTGCTGTACGTATTCCTTTCTGGAAATCTTTTTCGCTAATGTTTCAGCCTTTTTCATTTTCATTCATATTCTTGCGTAGCTTTTTTTTTTTCTTGTCCCCAATTATTAAAAACAAACATGTTCAAGTTTGATGTTCGGGTTGACGAGTGTGATAAAGATGATAATTTTAATGACACTTTCTATCAAAAAGATTCTCGAAGTTAGTAATAATAGCGTTGTTTGGTTGAAAAATTTCAATAAATCCACATTTCCTGCAGCTTGTACCAAGAGGAAACTTCCTCACTTAATTGCCACGAAGCCACAGAAATTTTACCTTCGCAATCTATTCTGGACAATGTCGACGTCTATCGTCTGCAACGTCATACTAAAATATTGAAGAATGTTTGTATATCACATTTAAGCGGCGGTTTTTTATTAGGGGACATAAGCAATGCCTCTAAGTCAGATATTAAGAAAGCCCACGACCAACATTCTGATTTAGTGCCAGGCGTTTATGAGGGTGGTGCAAAGATCTGGGAGTATACTGATGACATTTTAAATTTTATGGCTGAAATGTACTCTCAAGATTGGTGGACGCCCAAAAGAGTACTTGACTTGGGCTGCGGTGCTGGTTTAGTGGACATTTACGCCTACAAACAAGGGGCTCGTGTCGATTTTCAAGATTGTGTATGTGTAAGGTTACATATTGATATTAAAAGACTATTAATTGAAAATTTCTTTCTACTCATTTGTGCAATAAAGATGTTTTGCAGGTTATTACTATACCTAATCTATTGATCAACATCACCGAGCAAATACCGTTAGAGCAAGTCTTCGACAATGTGAAATTTTATTCAGGTAATTGGAGCGAATCGACAGAGTCCTGCAAAGGCTCCTATATTTATGATGTTATTTTAACCAGCGAAACTATATACAATCCCAGAAATCAAGATAAACTGTTACGTTGCCTAAAAGATAAATCAAAACTGAACGGCGTCGATATTTTGGCTGCGAAAACTCAGTTGGTGGAGAACTCCATCAATTCGAAGCACTATTAAACGCAGAAAAATGTTTCAACTATCAGATTGTATGAGATAGAGCAGGATGCTAATCGATCCGAGCATATTATGCAGAAAAGGGGAGCCCTGTGTAGGAAGGGATCTTATCTTATCTTATCTTTCTTCATTTTTCATTTATTTTAAGATAAAACTGTTGAGCATAAGAGGTCCGACCATAGCCGAATATGATGTTCCTACTTGTTTTTCATATAAGGAGATGAATGCCATATAATATATTATTAAATTACGAACTTTAAGCGGCTCTATGGAGAAGCCAAGTTTTTCATCCCCTGAAATGTACAATTTTATGTTTGATTTCATAGCGGATAACAATCTAATGGACTCGAAGCAGGCTAAGCTCTGAAAGGAAATAATTGTACATAATGTATGCTTAGTATCCTTCACATAACATCAAAGAAGATTGGAAATTGGAAATTAATCAATTACTGACGAAATATCCAACGGAGTATTTTTAGTACACTATGCGAAGGATGGTCATTACTTAGCTAGTATGTGCATCTAGAAGATCAGCAAAATGGTGTGAGTGACTTTGTGTTCTGCTTACGTTTATCAATTAAACGATCACCTTTAAAAATCTTGCTTTTAGTGCCCAATATAGCAACACATCACTCATAAATCTGTGCATGAATGTACACACTAAACACAATTTGCCTACGTATAGATGGAAACAAAGAAAGAGAGAGTATCACGTCATACATACAATCAGCCAGTAACTAAATATAAGAAATAGGTGTTAAAAACCAGAAAACCCATAACCAGCTCTCCTTCCGATTATGACGATGTCGATCATCATATCTAAAGCTTAGAGTATTATATTAGACAGAATAGCTAGCCAACGAAAGTGTAATTGTATGCGAGAGAAAATTATTGAAAAAAAAATGTTTTTTTTTTGATTATTGTTGCTATTGCCGTTCGGGTTCAAATGTTTAATATAGACGACTTTGCTGGCTCTGCTTGCCTCTCCACAAAATGCTTTACAATATTTTTCACTTTCAGGTTTAATTTGAATGAATCTTTTTGAACGTCACAGTTGCTTCTTAGACGTCGGCCTCGCAAGACCGCAATTTCCAATAAATATCCAATAATAAATCGTGACCATACATACATTCCGATCAAATTAAATCAACAGAATATGTATTAAAACGAATTTTGACCGCACAGTTTAATCTATAAAAGAAAATACATAAAGCGATTTTGTAACAAAGAGAAAACGTAAGAATTGTAAAAAATATGAAATTTTATATAATTCATATCTGTGTGACTTCAAATGTGCTTGTATATACAATATTGTCGACGATACAAGATAATGACGATCGTGCCTGGACTGGATAGAAAGACGTGTATGTTAGTTAGAAAAGAGAAAATTGGCAATTTATGAATTTTCTCTTTTGTTTCTAGTTACGCTCAATCGATGTGCGGGTCGTTTCTCTTAAGTACACTATGAATTATTTAAATTTCAATTTAATTAAAACTATATAAGCATGAAAGCACTTGAATTAAAGAACAGTTGCTACCTAAGCGGTTTGATAATGTTTCTTAATCGGTTTCAAGTGATTACGTTTCAAATATTACATAAATTCTGTTTAATCAGTAAATAACGATAAAGCAAATATTGCTTCTACGCAACACGACGCCAGCACTATACTAACATATTCTGCATTCTGGGAGTCTAAAAGATAGTTAATGTGCATGCTTTAAATCAGGAGTCGACAAACTTTCATAATAAAAGAACACAGAGGGAAGAATATTTTAAAGAATCGTTCACCCAAAGTCTCTTTTTATGAAAATAACTCTCGTCTTGCATTCCTGTTTTGTCAATTTGTGTTTATTAGCTACAGCCGTCGATAGAATATATTCAGACTAAGATCGTTTGGGGAGCCACAATATTAATTGAAACTGAATTTCGATCTGGCAAAGATTATACATATATTTACAATGAGACGATATTTATTAAGAGCTCCTCTCTATATTCTTTTATGGCATCCTTATGAGGCTGACTAATGAAGCGATTCCCCTTTTCCCATGAATTAAACCGAGACACAGGCATTCGATTATAGGATCGTCGAACAAGTGTACTGTCAACGGCTTAACATAACCTTGATGGAAGAAAGAAAAAAATATAGAGTAAGTCAGCGGATGAATTTTATGTTTGCGGAACACTTACTTGAGAATTCTTCTGCAATCGCTTTTTAGTCAACGGAGTTGTCTATACTCGATATCACTAGTACGATAAGGTTTGGTTACTTTTGAATTTTTGCACTTTTTCAAGATTTTAAGACCTCAAAACGACAAATTCGGGAAATGAAATAAAAAACATATATAGACAAACCATGTTATTGTGTGATGACATGTTTTCTCTATTTAACCAGCCATGGCAGAACCTTATCAAATAACGAGCTCATGGTGAAGTAATTTATTCATTTAAAAGTTTAAGTTACTAAAGTCCTACCAAATTTCTCTTTCTTTTTCGCGAAATAAGCGGTTCCTCTACAACAAACTTCAATTTTTATGCCTAAAATTTTTGGGATTAGTTCTTTCAGTCACTTCATATACAAAGGAAAAAAAGATCATTAATTTTTGGCGGGAGAACTTTGTTTCTTAAAAAAAAAAAAAGAAAAGCTTGCTGACTAACCGTCCAAAGAAGGGAGGAAAAAACTATTCGGATGAGAGGAACCTGCTGACAAAAAAGGAAAATGTAATTCTGATATATCTTCTGTTCAGCTGAGAGTACAAATTGTCTTCACCAATAGTGTAGTGAATAGTCTATCTTTGTGCCATTCATCTATTTCAACCTCCAAACTTTGTCTTCAAGAGCAATATTTCGTCGGAGAGATTTTATTGCTGAAAACGTTTCTACTTCTTCTTGGCCCCAGCGAGACCAATCCATTTATTCACCCACAATGATCCACAAGGGCTAACAATTTTTTTCTTTCTTCTACAATTATTGAATTTTTAATTTAGAGCTTAGTCTTTGAATTTAAAATTTTTTTTTAATAATTCGGCGACCTGTGATGAAAATAAAAAAGCGCAAATGTTATGCTTATTTAAGTAATTCTGAGGTCCTTTGGGTTAGAGCTTATAAAGCATGCAATGAAAAAAAGTAATCGCAAGTCTTTTCGTTTTATTAATTTTTCGAGAAACATAAAATATATAAATGTCAATATAAAAGGAAAATTAAAAAAAAAAACCAAAATAAAAATAAAGCTTTTTTACATAAGGAAGAATTTAATTCAAATTTTCTTAATCATCTCCAAGATAAGGAAAATATAAACGAGGCTTGCATTGAATCGAATTTAGCGGTTTTTTTAAATTACTTTCACGTAAATTAACGACTCGTACAATTGTTTGCATGAACGTGAGTATAAACGGGCAATTATAATATTAGCGACTAAAAAATTTATATTAATTAAAAGTAGTCAAGCAATAATTCATAATTTGTGTTTTAAAAGCTTCGTACAAGCTTGTCTCGGTAACCGTATGCAAAAAAGTCTGACATGTGGACAATTTTCATACTTTCCACTCATTGCATTCTTATAACTTAAAAAAAAAAAAGCATTTAAACTGCTACTTAGCTAATTAATTCTTGTACAAGAAGTCAAGGGCCGTGCGCATTTAATAAGTACCGTCATTTATGTACATGTCGCGCATCTTATTTCATTCTATGTACGTCGATTTTGCACAATTCCAAAATAATACCGTCAATATTTAGCTTGCATTAATCCTTTAAAATGTCATCTTTGCCATTGTCGTTTCGTAAAAGATCTAAGATATTTCAAGGGGATATTTAAGGGACTGTACGCATCGCTCTATTTAAAAGAAAAAAGAGTTAACAGGTTCTCAAGCAAGTCGACTGAGAACGCGTAGAGAAAGGTTTAGGCAATTCGTAGATACATGGACTCATGTCATAGCTGGATTAACATTGTGTCACGAGCTGGTGAAGCAAAAATGCAGACTACATGCAACTGATTTCTCATTGAGAATGCATTAAACGCCTTTCATTTTTTTTGTACCGTATTGAAAATATGGAAATTGAAGGTTATCTAGAACTCGTTAACATTAGTCAAACAAAATTCTAGACCACGATGACGAACTTTAAAAAAAACAGATTTGAATTTAATAATATCTCCATCAGTTTATATATCTGTATTTGTATTTGTGGATTTATCTAAACAGATATCCAAATTGTTGTCGGACCTTTTGTAATTAAATGTCATAAGTTCTTGTCCTGGCGAGGAAAATGGATGGTCCCTGCATTAAAGCTTTTGTAAATCCTTTCGGTCAACGTCCATGGATGACACGAGAAGGTGCTGCTGCTGCACCCTCCGGCGGTAGTAAAGGCTTAAAGGGCATTATAGCCGGTGGCATTACCGGTGGCCTCGAAATCTTAATCACCTATCCGACGGAATATGTTAAGACACACTTGCAATTAGACGAGAAAGGTGCCGCTAAGAAATACACTGGTGTTATTGATTGTGTTAAAAAGACCGTTCAACAACGTGGCTTCTTTGGCCTATACAGAGGTTTAAGTGTTCTATTATATGGCAGTATACCGAAGTCCGCGTGTAGGTTTGTAGCTTTCGAAATATCTATCTATAATATGAACATAAGAATGACTTAAAATTCAATCCAATCGTTCTTTTTCATCAAGATTTGGCGCTTTCGAACAGATCAAATATTTTTTGGTTGACGAAAATAATCAGTTAAGCAGTGCAAGCAAATTGTTAGCTGGTTTGGGTGCGGGCGTTTGCGAAGCCATTGTTGCTGTAACGCCCATGGAGACTATTAAAGTGAAATTTATTAATGATCAACGTAGCGAGAATCCTAAATTCAAGGGATTCTTTCATGGAGTTGGTACCATTGTTAAAACAGAAGGTAATATGACCCTTACAAGTTACTATATATCTCGATTTGTATCTTTATATATTTTACAGGCTTTGGTGGTATTTATAAGGGTTTGACGCCTACTATTTTGAAGCAGGGTTCTAATCAGGCAATACGTTTCTTTGTTATGGAAACTCTGAAAGATTTATATAAACGTGGAGATTCAGAGAAGAAAGTGCCAACCCTTTTGGTAGGTGTGTTTGGTGTTGTAGCTGGGGCTGCTTCAGTATTCGGCAATACACCGTTAGATGTAGTGAAGACACGCATGCAAGGCTTGGAAGCGGCAAAGTACAAAGGTACGGTGGATTGTATAGTAAAAATTTGGCAAAAGGAAGGTCCATTCGCCTTTTATAAGGGGACTGTGCCTCGTCTGGGGCGCGTATGCCTTGATGTAGCCATAACCTTTATGATTTATGATAGCTTTATGGAATTATTTAATAAAATTTGGAAATAACCAATCATTTTGATTGATTAGCCAATTATTTGGTTAACAGCAGGACAGAAATTTGATCGCATAAAAACTTTACCTTTCCGCTCGTTTAATTCGTATAGGTAGACATCCGTAAATCAGAATCATTATTCCATTTACCAGTCTTGCATGATAGATTTTGTCTTGCGCATTATATTTACATCTACATTTTCTAAAAATGAATGTATGTGGCATTACAAATCAATTTTAATATATGTGAATTATTTTCCGTCTAGTTAAAGATCTAAATTTTTTTTTTTTTTTTTTTGTGTACATATATCAATCAATATTTTTGTTTAATTATTTATAAATTTTTAAATCACAATTTTTTTGCTTTTTTTATATTTTATCTAATATAATAAAATGTGTACCTTACTGAAAACTGGTGGCGACATAAAAAAGATATGGGTTTTATTTAATGCAGTAAAGTGCGAAGAAAATTATTTTATAACATTGAGGGGTATGGTCGAGTGTTTACTAGAGAGTATTTGTCCTAATTTATCTTCCAGAGTTTTACTTAATTCATGCCAAGTGCATTTGCCAATAAGGGAGACCTCCTCAAGAGCTGGCCTAAACACTACTAGGACATTTAGGCAAATACCATCTGTAGTGTGAGGTTTAGGTGAAGCCTGATGTTCGATGCTAAGAATGCCGTGGGGCCTGTGTTGTGGTAACTCAGCTCCAAAAAGCTCAATCATGAATTTACGTAGCGTTGAATGCAAACTACGCTGCGGATGCACTTCGACCGTAGGGAAATGATGTACATTTTTTTCACTCACAAGTACATTTAAAGCATTTGTAGCACGCTTCCGTATTACCGCTACCACACGTAAATAGTTTTTGTGATGAGCATACCTTGTGGGCAAAGTTTCTGGATGCCAAAGTTGCGATGACGTACCGTCATTACGATGCTTATAAGCTTTACCGATTTCGATGAGGTTTAATATATCGTGAGCTCGCAACGGCAGTTGTGTAATATCTGCTACCCACTTAGCCTGAAGAGATTCTTTGTCCGCCTGCGCGATAGTTTTTAGAGAGCCACCGGTTACGAGACCCGTTAAAACGAAACGAAACCACGAACCCCCTGCAGCTTCTACAGCTAAAACAGTGTTCATCTCAACGTTTAAACCAGTTTCTTCGTATACTTCTCGTATTGCAGCTTCGCATATATTTTCACCTATTTCCATTCGGCCAGCTGGGAGATACCATTTTCCTAAGCATAAACACAAAAAGCACACATTATGCTACCATCATTAAGAACATTCGATTATGGTTACCGGCACAAGATTTTTTAGCTTCCTGCATGGCCAGAACTTCATCGTTGTCATTAATCAACACACATGCCACAATATATGTAACCGTTTTTCCTAGAACTGGTATAAAATCCGAAGCAGCAGTTGGTTGTATGCCCTGTGCCTCCGCGGTGGCGTTTTGCTCTTCCAATGAAAAGTCGCATAACTCTTGCGTTATGTCACCCAAGTCCTGCCCGGCTATAACACTAAGCAATTTTTGTTCAATTGTTGGTAAAGAATTCATTTGAGTTTGCGGCATACTCTTTTGCAAATAAAACAAGAACGGAAAGAGGAAGAGCTTATACGACTAGAGATTGTATTGAAAAATCGCTTACTTCACCTTACTTTAGGGTAGGCACAAATGTCTGCGAATTAGTCCATTGGTTATTGTAGATAAAAAAGCATGTTACTGTTAATTTAAAAAATCTATAAAGCCGAAGTTATTCTAAAGTATACTATAACTTTTATCTCAGAAGCGTTGCACAAAGCTGGAAAAATTTAAGTTCACTTTAAAATCTAAGTAAAGTAGTTATTGACGCATTACATTTATACTTAAGCAAAGCAAATGAAAAGTTCACTAACAAAAGAAATTCCAAGATTAAATAATTCTCTTACTTGATTGTTGAACTGGGCTGTTAAATGGTTTAGAAAATGAAGAGTTCTTCTGGATTTGAATCCATCTTTTGTTATACTTTTTCTATGATTTTTGTTAACGAATAATTCTTAAAAACACTCTGGAATGCTGTTTACCTAGGCTAAGCCAATTTGTGTAAATTTAACAAACTATTATAAAGTCACTTAGGAATGCCGTTGTTCCACTCAAATAGTTTTGTTATCGTATCGACAGCATTTACGTTTCACAAAAAAATTTTCTTGTACTTGAATGAACGAGTAAAACATAAATGAATGAATCCGATTTTTATGATTGTTTTGAAGATTTTAGAGAAAAAAAAAATTAATTTAAGTTTCGATAAAACTAGAGTCTCTTGCGACACGCACGATTGAACGTTGCAGCAAGACTGCTTTCAAGCGTTTGCCACCCAATAAACACGACCTGTAATGCATAATGATGTGTAGCGTATAATAGCTCAGTATAGAGGGAGCAAGTTGTAAGTTGTTTGTGTTTTAAGTGTCGGTTACCAGTTAAAAAGAGAACATCTCCATGCGCAAATAGACGTATATGTATATATGCCGACCACAATTGTTACTAGTAATGTGCTATGTCGTGTTTGCTATTTTGGAATAGTTAGAAAGATGAACAACAGCAATAAACAGGTAGTTCACCATTACCAATTGAAAACAATACCAGTTTGACTGGTTTGACTTGATGGTCTAATTCGATTCTGGGATACCCATCATTTAAGCCAAATATTCGATATTCTAATAAGAATTTAATACAACAATAAATACGTCGTTACTTAGTACCAGCAAAAATTAAAAAATGGACTGAATGAAGTCCATAAAACTGTCATTACAGACATAGATATGCTCAAACTCAAAAATTGTTTTAAATATTTAATATGGCAATAAGAATATATAGATAGAGCATAGATATCCTCAACCTCCATTATTTGAAATATCTAATATGGCAATAAGAAAAAACAAAAATTTGTCCTCTTTCTCCAACTGGCTAAGTAATTTGAAAACCGACTCTTTGGAAAACCGTCACTGAATTCATTAAAGCAGTTTAACGCTTTTGTTAAATCTTATATCAAAATTTTCTATCTACTTTGCATCCATGAGATCCATCTTGTAATCTATAGAAACGTACGAAGAACCAACGGAAATTTAATTAAAGAATATTTGCCCTACTATTTGTCCATGTCACACTTACGGGTTAGGAAATTTTACCAGAAAAACCAACTTTTTTTTAGATTATACTCTATGGCTGCAATCAAATTAAATTTGAAGGTTAGTGAAATTGGGCTGTAGATCTGACGAAAATGACAAAAAAAAAGTTCAATAAAATCGAAAGAATACACAATTATAACAAAAATGTAGGCAATTTGGGAGCATGTAAATATGATTTTTAGTTTGATCTACGCGGTGAAAAAAATTCGTTATATAGCATACGATCTGATATATTCGTGCTACCTTGCAATCAAATGTTACAAAAGTATTAGTGGTTCTGTTTTGCTCACGACAATTATAAAGAACACCAATAATTTTTTAAATGGAATTTGAAATTATCTTTTCATAGCTTTCATCTGCATTTTCATGTATACAATAAAGAATTTAACAAAAACCGTGTTAGCACAAGATGTCAATTTTTTTGCTTTTTTAATTAAATGATTAAAAACAGTCTTGAAAGTTTTATTAACTTACACGTTACCACTTACTTATAGCGCAATAAATCAGTGGTCTGATCTACCATTTTGTTAATGCCTAACCGCATCTTGTCGAAGTCAAACTCTCATCTTTAATTCAAGTAATCGGGGGTACGAAAAACTTAACAAGAAGTCGTTCAGATGATTAAAACGTAAGTTTACAATGCTCTGTATTTACGATAAATCTGAGTTTAATATAAAAAAAATGAAGAGCATGTGCATTTTAAGCAGAAAACTTAGATGCAAAAGAGCTCATCCTGTAGTTTGATTAGAGCTACTGCTGCTTCGTGCACACATTTGGCTGCCTTTTCATTTCAAGGTCTTGAGAATTTTCTAAAGAACCAGGACGGAGCAATCGCGAAGAGAAACATCTTTAGTGTTATAAACTTCACGATGCATTTAACGTACCCACAGTGGTATATAACTAAATAATAATGGATAATAGCCGTAGAAAGTAATGTTGAACTCGTTTATATTGGTACACGGGATATGTGCGTGCGACAAATTGGCTGATCGAAACAACGACAAATTATAACGAAAAAAAAAATTGTTAAGAGATAGAAGATAACATAAATTCACTTTTTTAACACAGTTTTCAAACTTCGACTTAAAATTTTTGTTAATCGCGCATTATTATTTAGGCCTACGAAAAGCAATACCCAGTAATGATCACAATCAGTAACACAAAACAGGTGTAATTTTATGAATTATTATTAATTACGCATGAAAGAGAAACTCGAAACACTCGTACTAGTTTATGTGCAACTTCAGTGGTCTAACTGACGAGAAAGTATCTTTTAAAACTCTTTGATAAGTGACCGCTGTAAATTAACTATAGGGGCAGTGCTGTAATTAATTGCTATGGAAGGTCAAGTTCATACTTATTAGGCTAGAAATGCAAACAAGTTTCATATTGTTTTGAGTTTTTCTTTGAGTTAATTTATGACACACTTTTGAATATGTGGGTTATCTCCAGAACTTTGAAACATTTTCTTAAAATGTTCTTTTTAGAAGTGCGGTGTACTGTAATCAAAAACTAAAAATGAACATCAAATTTTTTTTGGTAAATTGAATTAACGAATCTAGCGCACAAGCTGTTATGTTTAATCACTAAACCATTCGTGTCTCTTATACCAAATAAAATACTTTGTAATCGATTTACGGATCTATTATTTAAATGTATTTCAAGAAAGCAATAGCGCAAATATCTACAAAAATTCATGAAATGTAAACAACTAAGTAATAGATTTATTAGTCTTTCATTAAATAACTGCATTATAAGTTTTGTAAGTCTCTTAAGATATTTTATTAATTTTTTTTTTTTATTATAACATTTCGAACTTAATCATTTTTTTCATCAAGCAATTAAAAACAAAAACATAACACATTTGTAGTTTAGAGTTGCCGTGATGGTAAAAACTGAGTCATTACGAAGCAAGGAATATTACTGAGAGATGCGTGAGCGTGAATAAAGATTTTTAGTATTACATATATTTTTGAAAAATCTAAATTGAATAAATTATAGAAAACAATAGTCATCCAAAATGTAACGAAAAGATATTATTTTTCTTTGGCTGTCAAAGCAAGCGAAAATTGATGGAAGCCCCATAACTAGAAATAAAAATTGGAGACATCGTATAGCGACAGTGTATGATGATGTACATAAAGATTGATGATTCAAAATTGATTACTAGCATTGGGGTAAAAAGTGAAATAAAAGCATTAACTCTTTTATCTTTCACAAATTTAAAATTTTTTGATTTGCTGTTTGTAAGCAAACAATTTTGTTTGAAATTTATTTTCGTTCCAATTTACACTTCTTTTTGTTTTATTAATGCAAGCAGGTAATGTTGGCAAGTTTGCTTGCGATCATCGCCAAATGCGCCAAACCAAACACTATTCCAGTGACAAGAAAATTAAATAACTTCAACAACTTCAAGAATATTGGTTGGTACAAGAAGCCATTGGTAATAGGAAGCTAAGACTAAAATTTGCGAGGGAAAAAGCAAAAATTCTTTACTCTCATCAGCAAAGCCAAAGTCTTAGTTTTCTACTACGTTCTTGTACCTACAGCTTACGTTGCGAGCTTGGCAATGGTCACGTTACAGTTGAGCTAATGGAATCGGAAAATTGGTGTTTATGCATGACATTGTAAACAAGGATGGTTTTTGTAGGATATGGAAAGAAGATTTGAAAGAAAGAGCGGACAAACTTGGGGTTTTCTGGCAAGATAACGACCTCAAGCGTGAATCCCGCTTAATTCAAGAATGGCTACTATATGACTCTCCCAAAGCGCCCCAAAGTGGGCATGAACCCCACCAAAAATATGTGGGATGAATTGGATCTTTATGTACGAAAACATTCAATCCCTTCTTTCCAGGATCTGAAAAACAGACTATAAGAGGAATAGAGTAACGTCCTTGTTTCCGACACAAAGGAAATCTTATAAAATATGTCAAAAGTCTTAAATGACGTTATTAAACAAAAAGTCTCTAGATAGTCTCTAAATAGTAATTTTTAACAATATGCCGCTTTTTTTCTCCGTATTCTTCCTTTTATAAAATATTAATGACGCAATGTTCTTGAAGTTGTTGAAGTTATGTAATTTTCTTGTCACTGGAATAATGTTTTGATTGCTTGTTTTTTTATATTTGAATACGTATTCCCTAGTAGTACAAGTTAGTAAAAAAAATTTTTATGTCTGAACAATAAACTAGGTTTAACAAACATATACTTTTTATGGAGCGAACGATCCCAACATTAATGAGACTCACTGTAACTTCATATTATTATTAGTTCATTGAAGAGGAGAAGGATGCGATTGAATACTGGAAGTAAAACTTTTTATATACTGGATTTTCTTTTTATTTGTTCATTGTTTATATGAATTAATCACTAATTCTATATTATAACAGAACTGGTAACATTCATTTTTATGGAAAACCTTTAAAAAAGAATATATAATATAACAATAATGAACTTTCCGGCTATAAAAACCTAAAAATTTAAAAACCGGATTTAACTTTATTAATTTTGTCAAATGTGAAATTCCACTTAATTACTTATTCATTTTATTTTGCATGTTTATTATTGTTTACCATATGTAATTTGTTTATACAAACAAATGAACGTCAATTTGGCACTCACTTTTTACGTTTCTCTCAATGATTAATGCATTATAATGAAACATTTGATGAGAAGCATTGGAAAACTGGCGATAATCAATTGTCTCCTAAAAAAATCAGGCGATAATCACCACGATGATCGCTTACATAATTGCCCGCCAGCTCTAAACAACTAATATTTACGCAAAGCGTGAATAAGTGCGTCTGATTTAACAGTTTTGAGAGAGCGTTTCTCGCATATTTTGTGCTTACCTATACCTAAACAAATTGAAACATGGAAATGAAAGCCAGTTAACGTAATAAAGATTAATGATCATTTAACTTGCATTCCGATCATTCTGCTGTAATTGATCAATTTGTTATTGTGAAACTAATAAATGCATTGACGGTAAATTTTATTAAACTTTTGTTTAGAGAAATTCTTGCGTATAAGCAAAAACATCTTGGAATCCATATTCTACAACATTTCCAATTAAACTTATTTATCACATTCGTAATATAAATTTATAATTCGTTACAAGGCACAGTCATAAATTGTATAAAAAAAAAATTCTACGATAAAAATATGTTGTATTTAAATTTATTAAAGCAAAGGAAATAAAACGTACATCTTTAAAGAATTTAATAACTATTAGGATAATTTGTTGCTAATTAGGTTAAACTCAAACAAAAATCAAATATAATTTATGGATTTGTGGTCAAGATAATGTTTGCTAAAGTTTCGTAAACAACAGCTGACTTTTGTCCTACAAGAAATGGTATTTGAACCAAGCCAACTACATTTATGCTGAAAAATTTTTTATTGCATTGTCGTCTCTCTCCTTCTTTTTAAAGCCCACAATACAAATTTGTATAATTTAAAATGGCGTCAACATTTTTCAACAACTGTAATCATTCCCACTCTAGCTTTACAATATCTATGGATGTAAAAAAATGCAGTTTTCACCCGTCGTGTTAAGAAATTTTCGATTTTATTAGAAAATTTTTGTGGATGTTTCATCTTTTAAACGACGGCACAATTAAGTGCGGTTTCTATTGATTTATTTCGTTATACACACGGTTTGTTTAACAAATTAAGAAAATTTGGTAATGTGTAAGATAAATGAAAAAAAAAAGTGAGAATATGTTGAAATAAAGAAAGAAAAATTTATACGTAGTCTCGGAACAACAATTTGCGCCGACAAACTGCCACTGCTGAAAGGCCCTTACCCTGAATTCCATTTATGTTTAGTGGGTATATCAACAAAAGTAAAGGTAAACTTTTGATGATTATCGGAGAGCAACGAATTAACGACAAATCAAAAGAATACCGCCAGTTAAGACAGCTTAAAAGACTGTGAACTCCTAACCGTTGCCACAGTTAATAATCTGAAGGACGGTTGGAGATTTGATTTGTAAAACACACCAAAGGCATGTCAGATATCATGAATATTGACAGCATAATTTCGCGATTATTGGAAGGTGAGTTTTCTTCGTACGCAGCGGAATTTTCATTGATTTAATTGTATATAATTATACGATAGTGCGAGGCGCAAGACCCGGCAAAAATGTACAATTATCAGAAAGTGAGATAAGAGGTTTATGTTTAAAATCCAGAGAGATATTTCTATCTCAACCTATACTATTGGAACTCGAAGCGCCATTAAAAATATGTGGTAAGTGTTTAACACAATATTACAGCACAACGTATGCGAGCACTAAAAATTATACCTATTGGTCAGAATTTTTTATTACCTATTTAGAGATTTCAATTTCGCTTACCTATAAACGTAAAGCTTGAAAATTTTCCGCTAAGCAACTGCAACTTTCTGCTGCCTATTTATGTTAACACGATGATTTTCTTATTCAAAAACTTTTTTTGTAACTTAATTTGTTTCTTAAATTTGACAATTAGGTGATATTCATGGCCAGTATTACGATTTATTGCGTTTATTTGAATACGGCGGATTTCCTCCCGAATCTAATTACTTATTCCTGGGGGACTATGTTGATCGCGGCAAACAGTCTTTAGAAACAATATGCCTACTATTGGCTTATAAAATAAAATATGCTGAGAATTTTTTTTTGCTGCGTGGCAATCATGAATGCGCCAGCATTAATAGAATTTATGGGTAAAACAATTAGTCAAATAATTCATATAAGTTTATTGCTGATTCTTTCACCCTTTATTTTAGATTTTACGATGAGTGCAAACGACGTTATACCATTAAACTATGGAAAACATTTACAGATTGCTTTAATTGTCTACCAGTAGCAGCCATAGGTATGTCTTGTTTAAAAATATTGAAAAGTATGATATTTCAAAAATTATTATTAAATAGTGGACGAAAAAATTTTCTGCTGCCATGGTGGTTTAAGTCCTGATCTAACAACGATGGAACAGATACGTCGTATTATGCGTCCGACAGACGTGCCCGATCAGGGCTTATTATGTGATCTGTTGTGGTCTGATCCCGATAAAGATACCCCGAGTTGGGGCGAAAATGATCGTGGGGTTAGTTTTACATTTGGTGCGGAGGTAAAATTATCTTTGACTTAGTTTTAAACGTTGATAGAAGATAAAATATATTTGATTTGTTTAGGTTGTAGGAAAATTTTTAGAGAAACATGAATTTGATTTAATATGTCGAGCCCATCAAGTTGTTGAAGACGGCTATGAATTCTTTGCTAAACGTCAGTTGGTTACTTTATTCTCAGCCCCAAATTATTGTGGCGAGTTTGATAATGCGGGTAAGTATTCATATAAATAGCAAGTGAGAAATCATTCTACATTTTTTCTATTAAATGCTGGCGTATGGGCTCTCTAGCATCGAAAGATTGCCCCATATCGATAGGATAGCTTCAGTTGATAACTAAACAGAATATCAAATGGATTTCGACTGTGGGCCCGATGTTTTTAATTTAAACGTCACATCGTTTTTTTACGGTCTGCAGACGGAACACAAGAAAACACGCTCAAACGAGTGCAGAAAGTGAAAGGTGGTTTTGCGAGTTGCATACACCCGCACAACCCTAGTATACCCTTGTACTGCAAGTGGTATAAAAAGTTGCATATTGAAAGAAGCAGTTTCAATTTTTTTTTACTGTTGGGGTAATTGTCGATTTTCAAAATTTGTGCAGCTTCTTTCAGTACAAAAAAGTTTTAATTATGGTACGTTAATCATTTCAATCGAATCCAATTGAATCAAAATCCCGGCTGTAACGATTTTACATGTTAGGTAAGACGTTTTAATGGGAGATTGATCTCTCGAGATGTACAGGTTTGACATATATATTCCCACTGTGCTATTATGGGCTTGCGTCCTATCCACTTAAAGCTGTAGAAGAAGTATAATCTTAGTTAAGAAAGAATAGCCTATAATCTATACTCGGTACTGATTAAAAACTTTGCTGTCAAAATGGTCTGATCGGATAAGTTTCACTTTCATATTTTGTTATTTAATATTTTTTTTTTTTTTTTTTTTTTTTTTTTGTATAGGTGCCATGATGTCGGTGGACAATACGCTAATGTGTTCGTTTCAAATTTTAAAACCTGCAGATAAAAGACGTTTCGTTTATCCTAACTTTGGTAGTTCGGGGCGTCCATTGACACCGCCTCGCGGTGCCAACAACAAAAACAAAAAGAAATAAGTGCAAAGTTCCATCGGGCTGGTTAAACCAATACCGCCCAAGTGTGTGGTAATCTAGGCCAAATATATTGTAATTTTTCATAAAACCATCACCCACCCAAATCATCTAATACTGTGTTGTTTTTGTAAAAAATTACAAATGTTTGGGCTGAAAAGTTAACGCATTGATTAAGAAAATTTGAAATTGCTTTTGTTTCGCTTAAGCTGTTCAGGTTTCTTTCTTTATTTTTATGTATGTATGTTAGTTTTTGTGTAATTATATTACTATCGCTTTTTTTTTTAATTTACAATAATTGTTAAACTTTATCTCTGTTTAAGCACATTTATTAAGCACACTGTGAATTTTTATACTATTTTCTATATCATAAATGCAAGAATACCAACATGTGAACGAAGAAGGGCAGTAAGTGTAAATTATTAAAGAAAAAAAAAAACAAAAGCCTATTGTAGGGTTAATTTTTATTTTTTCGTAAATTTTAAGTTTATTTTTATTTTACCACAAACATTACACCAAATACAAGTTTAAACTGAAAGAAAAGCTTAAAAGCCACAATAATAATAATAATAACATATTACAATGTCAAAAGCATGTAATTATTAAGTATTTAAAATGCATTCAAAGAAATTTATTGATCTTCTTTTTATTACGTTTTATTTTATTTTAGAAGCCTCTGTGTTAGATAAACAAAAAAATATGTAATAAATTAATGAATAAAAAATATACATTTAAATGTAATGATTATAAAGATTTGGAAGGCAGCAAAGGCATCGTCTCATATTAAACATTATTTATACAGTGACTTATGTATAAAAAATTGCACACACATACGCGAGACGTATGCGTTAAAGTAGGAAGGCGTATGCTTATGCATGTCCACGCATACATATATTGGAGTACATGCATACATAAACGCGTACATATATACACACGCAATGTGGCCATTCGTTCCCTGCCTAAATATGTATGTCATTCTTACAAAGTAACTAAATCGTATGCTACAAATTTAAAAGGAATTTTTAAAACAATAAAAAAATGTTTGTTTATATATAAAATTAAGTGTATACAGAAAACAAAACCGCATATAAACAGTTGAAAAAATATTTACAGACCCATGAAAAAACTCCTTAATAAACCATGTCTGTTATTCTCTCCCACATCTACACACAAACATATATAGAATTTCAATAATTTATTATATAAATACATACATGTATAACCTTACACAGATACATATATATATATATATATATATATATACAGATACATGTGTATATATATATGTATGTATAGTAGATATGCATAATCTAAGAATGGTGAGGATGGTGATAATGTTATAAAAACACCCTTAGAACTTAAAACAATATAAAAATAATTTAAGAACATACACACAAGGCAGCGGCACTTGAGGCAAGTGAAAGGAAGAACCATAAAATTTAGGCCATGTTATGAATAATTATGTGTTTTAACTTTGTTTTTATACACACATACATACTGGGTAGTGCAAAAACTTATATATTGCTGGACGTATACAATAAGCAGAACCGAGTAAAAAAAAATTCTCTTTCGTTTTTAAACCACAATACCCTCTGATTTTCTTACGAGTTTCATTAATCATAATAATGTATGTCTTTCTATTAATGTTAATTTTATATTTACACACATAAAAACATAAGTTTTGTATTCAATTTCACTTTCTTGAACATGTTGTGTAAATTTGAAGGGCGATTATTTAAACATTCAATTTAAACATCGACATACATACCATAACGTAATGAACAAATTTTTTTCTTTGCTGAATAAACGGAAATCGATAAGTTTTCAACAACTTGCTTCAAAAACACGATGTAAGAATCCCAGCAACAACAATAACAACCGCACATAGAAAATGTAAATCATCAATAAATTCAAGTACATTTAAACACCCGAACATTTTTAGCTGCAATAGAGTAACAAGGGAATAAGTAAAAATGAATGAATAAATAAAACTATGTTATAATATAAAAAATAAATTGCAAATAATGGCATAAACCAATAAGCAACAATAAAGTGAATATATTTAAACAACAACAAGAAAGGTCGCTTGCCTATTTATCGCGTTTTAATAATTTTACATGTAAGTCAAATGTAGGTTTAGCGGTTAATGATCGCTTACAGTGCACGTACATTGATAAACAAACATTTGAATACCAATTTCATTCTCACGGACGATCAGATCGCGTTCGGTTCGGCCATCGTACATGGAAGTATCTTCTTGTGCTGCGATTAGTTTATATCGTCCCATCACCAACTTGCTTATATACGATTATCCTCGCTTGCTAGATGACGTATTCAGCGTGGCCTAACTAATTGGCTTATAATCAGTATGTCTTTTTCGTAACATGTTTCTTTTATTAGCCTTATTAAAGTAGGCAATTCTGCCTACTGATTTTGGAACGATCATACTACGTGAACTTTTTCACATTCATTTTACATTTAATAATGTAAAGTTTATTGCATGAATTTTAAACGCTCAGTGTATTACTTTCCTACTGCCTTTAACGATAAGATAATTAAGCCCACAATGCATAGAAACAACTAATCGTTGTAAAAAACGATCAGTCCAATGTCTAAAGCGAGAAAGAAATTTAATTTACCTTGACTCTAAATTTTTAATATTAACTAGGACCTCGTATAAAGTATTTCACTGCAAAGCAGGACGAAAATCAAACACCGTTTCGCATGCCTTTCATAAATTAATGTAGAAAGACGGAATAGGTCAAAGTTTGCAAAACCGCAAAGGACAAGTAAAGAAGTAAGAAGTGAAGTAATTTTGTCCAGGTAAGGCGGAATGCCTATTTATCAATTCATCACAAAAATAAAACCTGACTATGCGAATATTTTGCAAGACACGCTAGCAAAATGCGCTAAAGCCAAAATTCAACTTCACTTCAAGTGAAGCAGTCAATTAGTTTCTAGAGCAAAAAGACACTTCAGATAATTGAATACAAAGTTGAATGCTTGCAACTTTTAAGCATCATTATTTCAGTCGGATTTTCGGATTGGACAGCGCCATTGACAGCTGTTTGTATACGCAGTAAAGCTTCATCCGGTGTGAAGAGTAGTCTTTCTGCAATCACATTCTTTTTCTTCCAAAACCTGAAGTTATATATAGCAAAATTGTTAGCATTCATTAAGACACATTGACCTATCAGACGCTTACCTGCAGACGAAAACGACTTCAAATTCAGCCAAGTTTCTCGCTATACACTCACAAAAACTTTTGTGAACACGGTCGTCTTGGTCTTCAATGGTCATTTGCAAACTAAATGAAATATTTTTAAAACTAAATTGCATAAAAAATAAGTTACGTGCTTACTCTTCCTACAATACATACTCTACCTACCTATAAGTCAATCGCACGCACATATTCAACATAATCTAACTGAATTGCGAAAAATATAACGCAAGATTACAAGTGAGAAGTGAGAAAAAATTGGTAAAAACATCAAAACAAAAAATTCAACAAAAAAATTCATCAAAAATCTCATAAAATATTGCGAACCGTGTTAAAGTAAAACGATTCGTGTAAAAAGAGATTCAGGTGTGTTATTTTTGTGTAAAATCACAGTTTTCACGAAAGCTTTCATATTAGAGGATGCTTCGATTGTTGTGGCCCAAGTTTAGCAAAATTAACTGATTTGTCAAAGATTTTAAGGTTTTTGGTCATTTCCACCACAAAACACTACAAATTAGACGTTGGCACCATATAACGGCTTATTTCTCTTGAGAACCTCCACATACGGGGGAGCTTAGAAAACAGATGTATGGAATTCACAAATTAACTTTTGAGCATTATTTCTCCTGTGGGCCAATTTTCATCATAATGTGGGGGGTAGGAGTTCTTTCTTCTAGGCAATCATGATCTCTGTACAGAATATACACACGTTATTCAGCCTCGAATGGATATTTCAATGTCTTTATGATCATTGAAGACGTCCATGAATGTGCAATATGCAGCAGGTGTAAAACTCAAAATAACAGCGTGGCTCGCAAATGCAGGGGTATAGTAAATTTGTTGGCCGAAAATAGACGCTTCCGTTGTAGCGCTTTTTTCAGCAATGAAATTTTGCATAAACGGTTTTCTTCATTTAGAATATTCACAATTTTGCTATGAACGCCGCTGCGGCTAATTCTGTGTCTTGCGTGGAATGGTAGATATTTATTTATTATTAGATGCTTGCATGTATGTTTATCATTTTTTACTTGGAAACGCATTTATTGAGAAAAATTGGTACAATATATATTAATCACAATATTTTCCATCATTTTCTAGAACCTTTACCAATCCTTCTGGCTACATGGCAATACCGTGTCAAAAAAACTTATATTATACAACTTTAAGTTCATGAAAATTCCGCTTCGGTGTCGATGTGGATGGTTCTTCTGGACTAACCCACTATTTTGATGCATGCGGTTGTCGTAGTAGACCAGTCATAAGATGCCACGTAAAACTCTCCTGTTTTGATCTGGCAAGCAACGAAACCGCGATGTTGAAATGGTTCGAAATGGCATTTTCAGTCTATTCGTATGGCAGACATAAGCTTCTAAAAGTGTTTGATGGGCTTCGACAGCAGATTTCTGCGTTCCATGATTAGCGTCGATAGACACTGAATTGCTCAACAATACTAAATAGAAAGCTGTTATTTTTCATCTCATGGTACAATTATCTCACATTACTTTAACGTTCTCGCCAATAGATGTCGCTGATCAGAATACATGCAAGCGCCTGTCAGGTTGCAAATAAGAAAACCCATTTATAGGAAATTTTTTTAAAATAATCTTATTTATAGAAAGAGCAGACTTGGGTTTTCACAATATGTCACTCCACTGAGCTCGCAAGCACGCTTGATCGGGATCTATCGCTGAGGTCTACAATCTAGCTCCCCTCGTTTCGAGAAAATCCTGTGTTTATATTTTGTTGTGATGCTTTTTGTTCTATGATCTATAACATGCCCTACTTCCTTTGCCATAGGATTCGAATTTTTAAGACTTTCTTTACAAAGGATCCATTACCAAGAATCCTTAACGGTTGATTCTTATTGCAGTGACAAAGATGTCTCTTTTGGTAAATCGGTAAATCGGTAAGAATTTAGAAATCAGACGACGCTGCCTGAGCGAACTGCGATATACGCCTTCCTAGCCGTAAGGATTGATTTTTTCGAAAGACGAAATTGTTTTGAATATCGATCGAAAATTGTTCGTCCTTAAGTATAACAACTGAGTAGCTAGCAGGTTAGAGATCTAGTCACATAAGTTTCTATTGTCTATAAACAGACATGTGGACTTATGTTAACCACGTAAGGCTTTACTACAAGCGAACTCTTGCGAGTTGATCTCTTCCCAAGATTTTTACTTTAAAGAAATGAATAATCGAGTCCCTTTCCTAACATATCC